CAACTAGAAATAATATAAAAATATCAATATACTCATCACTCAGTTACCTACACTTACTATGAAAGTGGGAGCTTATTAAATATAACTGGTATACATTAAAAGGCAGTATTTGTTAAAGCTAAAAATGGGGAATCTGGTATTGGAGTTATATTAGGGAAATCATATCTATATGTATTATTATATTCTGCTTTTGTCATATTAGTCATATTCATTATTTTTATTATGAAATATTTCAAATGTACAACTAGAAATAATATAAAAATATCAATATACTCATCACTCAGTTACCTACACTTACTATGAAAGTGGGAGCTTATTAAATATAACTGGTACACATTAAAAGGCAGTATTTGTTAAAGCTAAAAATGGGGAATCTGGTATTGGAGTTATATTAGGGACCATCACATGTTTTTCTTTGAGTCAGACTTTTACTGGAGTTACAAGTTAGAGTCATCTGGTTGGACTTCACATTCAATGCAAGAATCCCTTCTGTAACATTCTCAATTATCTGGCCCTCCTGATGTTGGTGTGTTTATTAACTGTCATTAAACCAATAGTACATTATGTCATCCTACTTCTTATTGCAGGAGCAATTAAGATAGGTAGGGCTGTAGATTCGCTTCTTCCTCATTCTTACTCACTGCTGGTGTCCCCAGTTATACAGAACCTTCAGCCTGACCACTCTCCTTATCACTGGTGCCATTTCTACTAGCTTTTGCAAACAGTGCTGGAGATGGACAGGTGCAGTAAGTGGGACTAGGGCTAAAAGATAAGTATATCAGGTTGAGAAGTAATGTGAAAGTCTAAGGGCATGACTGATTGGGGAAAAGGGTGTGGGTGTGTGAAATAGGGGACATGGCTGAGCTGAAGAAATAGAAATTTTTATTCCTGGCCCCTGTCTGGTCCAACTAAACAGAATCTTAATGGATGGGAATTAGACTGGCAAGAATCTAGTGTATATAGACTGGAAGCAAATTATTTTGTAATAAAACGGCTGATCTTATTTACTAACATCATTTTGTTCTTTTTCAGTAGGTGACCACGGTTATGATAATTCTTTGCCTAGTATGCATCCATTTCTAGCTGCCCACGGACCTGCATTTCACAAAGGCTACAAGCACAGCACAATTAACATCGTGGATATTTATCCAATGATGTGCCACATCCTGGGATTAAAACCACATCCCAATAATGGAACCTTTGGTCATACGAAGTGCTTGTTAATTGACCAGTGGTGCATAAATCTCCCAGAAGCCATTGGGATTGTTATTGGTGCACTCTTGGTGTTAACCACGCTAACATGCCTCATGATAATTATGCAGAATAGACTATCTGTACCCCGTCCATTTTCCCGACTTCAGCTACAGGAAGATGATGATGATCCTTTAATTGGGTGATATGTGCTGGGGTTTATACAAAATGTCTTTGATTAATCACAAAACTAAGGCTTCACCCAAGGGATAGTGTTGCAACTATGAAAAAGGATACTTTGAAAGACAAAGAACTTAGACCGAGCATGCTAAAATTATTTTGTTTTTCCTTGTGTTTTGTTTTGGTGCATTTGCTAATGCAAATAATCCTAACCGTAGTAAAATTGCTAGTACATCATTAGTCAATACCATCTATTTCTCTAACTAGAAATAGCTTTTGAGAAAAATACTCCCTTTGCCTTTTTTTGCACTGAAGATCTGATACATCTTTAAATGAAAATATACCAAAATTTCATAGGCATGCTTTTCTAATAAATTTATATATTTGTAAACAAAACAACGGAAGTCTTGATGCAATTCGTGAATTTTGTGTATCAGGGAGAAAAAGTTTTCTATATTTTTATATTTTCCTCTAATTAATTTATATCCCAAGTAACCTCTTGAGATAGGAAATTCTCTGTGATGGTTGATAAAATTGATTAACCAAGCAGAAAAGATCTAGCATAGGAAGAAATTATTTTAAGGAAAGCTATTAAAAAACAAAAAACAACTAAGACCGTGTGATAAAAGCCTGACTTGTCACTGTTTTGTCTTAAGCTGTTGGAGTCTCAAAAGTTAAATCTTTTGAAGATTATTGCAAATAAGAAATTCAGAAGAAAATAGAGAAAAGCACTTTTTCTATTTGTGCTTAATGCCTTTGTGTAAGTTACTTAGTTGTGTGTGCGTGTGCAGGCGTGTTTGTGTGTAGGTGTGTAGACATTGTGTGACTTACTGTGGAAGGAGGTCAAAGGTGGGCTGTGGCCAGGCTTCCACATTCCCACGGAACACAGCTCTCAGGAAAGGTTATTTTTGCACTTCATATTTGTTTACTTTCTCCTAAGTCACAAGTTAAAATCATAACTTAAAAAATTCATGGCTGGGCACGGTGGCTCACGCCTGTAATCCTAGCACTCTGGGAGGCCGAGGCGGGAGGATTG